GTGAGCAAGAGTTTGTTGAACAAGCTATGAAAGCAAAGCACCCACTCTCTTTGGACTCGGCAGTGCCGCAGCAGTTGCTGGATGCGCTCCACTTTACTATTGAAAATGACGAAGCCACCGTTGCAAGAGTGAGAGCCGAGTTCTTTTCTCATTGGACCCGTAGGGCTTTACAGTTGGAGAGTGATGAGAAAAACTTCAAGAAAAGCATGCAACATGATGTCGCAAATGCGGTTAATGGCAAAAGAATTCTACTTTTTGAAGAAATGTTGAAATCAACGGGTTATCCTGACCTTGGCGTTGTGGATGAGCTTAGATGTGGCTCAGATCTTACGGGTGTGGTGCCAGTTACAAATATGCTCCCCAAGAAGTTTGAGCCAGCGCTGATCTCCGAAAATGAGCTCTGTGCTAATGCGGAGAGAATGAGGGATGCTGCAGTGAGGGAAGTAAGGAGCTCGGGTGACAGTGAGATTGATGAGACTGTTTGGAGAAAAACCCTGGAAGAGGTAGACAGAGGGTGGTTAGTGGGCCCTTTAAGTGACGGCATGGTACCAGCTGACCGCCCACTTTCACGAAGGTTCGGGTTGCGCCAACGCCATGACAAAGTTCGATTGATTGATGACTATTCTGAGTCAGGGGTGAATGCTTGCGTAACCGTTTCAGAGTCTCCCATGTTGCACACAGTAGATGTGGCTTGCGCGCTTTTGATGATTTGGTTCAGTGCATGCAAGGAAGCCAATGTTGATAGTGATTTAGCTGTGCGTACGTTCGATCTGGCGAGCGCCTACAGACAGGTTGGTTTGAGCACAAAGGGTCAGCAATTTGCTTACCTCCGGGTTTTTAGCCCACGGAGCAAAAAGGCTAGTTTCTTTCAAAGCCTTGTTTTACCTTTTGGAGCAGTGCGTAGTGTACACTCTTTTCTGCGACTTGCGAGGGCATTGTGGTGGCTGGGTGTTACAGGATGCTGTTTCATTTGGACGTCATTCTATGACGACTTTATTTCATTTAGCCGGCCGAAACTGGTTGGAAGTACTGAGCAGGCGGTTACTGCACTGTTCAGGCTACTGGGATGGATCTTTGCTGAAGAAGGTGAGAAAGCACAGCCCTTCGACTTGCATTGTTCTGCCCTTGGTGTTGTCTTTGACCTTGGCTCGGCATCAACAGGCAAAGCCTTAGTGTGCAATACAGAGTCAAGGCGGATAGAACTATGTGAAGAACTGCTAAAAGTTGTGAAGGAAGGTCGCTTGACTAACAAACAGGCGCAACGGATGCGTGGCAGGATGCAACTTGCGGAATCTCAATTGTTTGGCCGTACCGGCAAAAGATGCTTGCGTGTTCTTGCTGATTTCGCGGAAGGCAAGAGATCTGCGCTCACCGACAAAGACAAGTTCTTTTTGCAGATGTTTCGCAATCTCATGGAGGCAAATGTTCCTAGAGAAGTTCAGGCTTTGTGTTCCGAGAATGTGTTGGTGTTCACAGACGCTTGCTATGAAGCGGGGCATCCCTCCTGGCCTTGTGGTCTTGGCGGGGTCATGTTTGCCGGAGGACAGGTGAAATATTTTTCATTAGCAGTTGATCAGGAGATGCGCAGACTGTTTGGAGAGGGTATCAAGAAGCAAATTATTTTTGAGGTGGAAACCCTTGCAGCCTTGCTGGCTGCTGACTTGTGGCAAGCTGAATTTGGAAACAAAAGAGTTGTGCTGTTTGTGGACAACGAAGGCACGAAGTTTTCTCTGCTTAAAGGGCTCTCTGACAATCCTTGCGTTGATGCGATGGCTGAGTACTTCGCTACCCTGGAATGTAACCTCCACTCCATGATTTGGATAGCGAGAGTGCCTTCAAGCAGCAACGTGGCCGACCCGCCCTCCAGAGGCATAACAAATGTTTCCCTACTGGCAAATGCAACTGACTCTTCTTCTCTGGCAAAGGAAAAACTACTTGCAATCGTCACACAGATTTTTGAGTTGGGGGAGAAGGCTGAGCGACGATCCCCAGATGAAAACAAAAGTCATTGCAGCGCTTGACATTCAGTATTTTGCTTGAAAGTGGTTCAACGAATAAGCTACAGTGACATGTCACAAAGCTTTATGAAGTTGAAGACAGAGCGCCTGGTCTGTCAACTTTCGGTCCAAGAGGAGGGAGGGCGGGTTTGCCACCGTTCTTTTTTGCGATTTACCCTCCATCCACCCCTACTACCACCAACAGGATCAACATAGCAGTTTAAGCCGACCCACAGCCAAGAAGGCTGAGCGACGATCCCCAGATGAAAACAAGAGTCATTGCAGCGCTTGACATTCAGTATTTTGCTTGAAAGTGGTTCAACGAATAAAAATAGTTATTGCAGCTGAAAAGTGTTTTTTGCTTTTAAGACTAGTTTTCCGGAAGTCTTGGCTCCCCTGCAGAAGACAAAGAATATCAAACAAATAATACGAAAGGTTTTGCAGGAGTCTTGATTGAGTCTTGGTTTCAACAAGACATTAAATATACCAGAAACATCCAGAAACACGCTGTTCCAGAAATCCTGAGATTGGGGTTCTAGGAGATCAAGACAAAAAACTAGACGACGGATGGCCCGAGAGCGTAGAGGAGCAGGTCTTCTCTTGTTAGTATGGAGACACCATATTAGAAACAATATATATATATATATAAAGATGTCATATAGGCAGTCGAGAAGAGGAGTATTAAGACAAAATAGCAGAAGTGCAACACAATAGTTTGCATCGCAAACGCACACAGACACTTTTACGCACAGACGCTTGTACACACAAAAGCTTTCACACACAGAAGCTTTTACAGACAGACACTTTCACACACAGACCCTTTTACGCACAGACGCTTGTACACACAAAAGCTTTTACACACAGAAGCTTTTACACAAAGACGCTTTTACACAGACACTTTTACACACAAAGCTTTTACACACACACAGACGCTTTTACAGACAGAAGTTTTTACACACATACGTTTTTACACAGATGCTTTTACACACAGACACTTTTACACACAGACGCTTTTACACACAGACGCTTTTACTTTACACACAGACGCTTTTACACACAGACGCTTTTACACACAGACGCTTTTACACACAGACGCTTTTACACACAGACGCTTTTACACGCAGAAGCTTTTACCCACAAACACTTTTACACACAGACGCTTTACACACAGACGCTTTTACACACAGACGCTTTTACATTCAGACGCTTTTACACACAGACGCTTTTACACACAGAGGCTTTTACACACAGAAGCTTTTACACACAGACGCTTTTACACACACACGCTTTTGCACACAAACGCTTTTGCACACACAGTCTTTTACACACAGACGCTTTTACACACAGACGCTTTTACACACAGACAAGTCCGGCACAAGTAAAATCGCAATTTTTCCTCAGTTTTTGCCGATCGACCCTCATTTCGTGCGAAAGGGTTGCTCGGGGACAAGTAAAATCGCAATTTTTCCTCAGTTTTTGACGATCGACCCTCATTTCGTGCGAAGGTTAGTGTACTTGTTCACTTTGTTTTGCAAGGATCTTCTTTGTTCCTGTTTCCATTTTGGCTCAAGGACTTTCATTTGTATGTTTAACATTTTTGTTTTCCCTCCCCCCTCACCTGTTGCGTTTTCTTTTGGGGTCTGTGTTCGTGTGATTTATTTCTTTATCACCACTCTTTCGATATTGATGCATTCGACATGCATGCTGGATTTACTTTGGATGACAAAGTCATCATCCAGATTTATGCTCATATTGTCTGCAATTTATGGCAAGACTCAGATCAGCTCGTTTAGCTGCACCATCAACTTTCGCTGGCCCTCCGGGTCTATATTTGCAGTTCTGGGTCATCTCTCCGAATTGGAGATGATCTCTATCAACTATTTGGCAATGTCAGTCCATCTCCACTGTGAGGTTCAATGGACCTATCATTTCGAATTGTCTGGGATGTTTGTGATTCCATCTTTAGTTTGTCTTCTCAAGGTGGTTCTGCTGTTGTTTTGGCGGTTTTTGGTCTCTGGTGGACATCCTATGGATTTCAGGTCGCCAAATCTTGATCAAATCTGTGATATTCATGTCTGTGAGAGTCACATCGGACTATGATCCCGTGCTCTCTTATTTTCAGACGATCAACACTTTTCAGTGAGTCTCCAGGACACTTCACGTGGCGTTTGTGGCGTTTTCCAACATTTGTTTGATTGCTATTCCTGGTCAGATTCCTGTACATCCAGAATGGGTGGTTTGTGCCATCTGGATAAATGGTTCAGAACTATTGGACCCTGCGTGTTTTGATTTCGAATCTGACATATCCAGCAGATGAAAAAGAGCGATGACTGCGAAGACAGTGACAGAGAACGTTTGAATGGATGTACTTTTAACGGTTTGTTTTATTGAACTGATTTGGGAATCTAGATTTTAACTCTAGGCTCAAACAACAAATGAAAGTCCTTGAAGAACAGGGTTGCTCCGGCACAAGTAAAATCGCAATTTTTCCTCAGTTTTTGACGATCGACCCTCATTTCGTGTGAAAGGGTTGCTTTAGCACAAGTAAAATCGCAATTTTTCTTCAGTTTTTGACGATCGACCCTCATTTCGTGCGAAAGGGTTGCTTTAGCACAAGTAAAATCGCAATTTTACCTCAGTTTTTGCCGATCGACCCTCATTTCGTGCGAAAGTTTCACTAGGCGCTAGCCTTGTTACCTTATCAACTCGCAGGTGTGGCGTGTGCCACCTCAACCAAAAAAAACAAAAACCTGAACCCCCCCAAAAAAAAAAGTAGGAGGGGGTTGGTGGCCTGAAGAAACACTCTGTGTTTGCGAGAGACTTTTGTGCTTGTGTTTCTTTTAACCGCTGTTTTGTTTAAACACCAACTGTTTGAAACATTCAACCTGGTTTGTGGAATGTTTGTTTTCTGGGGTCACTGCGTAATGTGTGAATGATGCAGTTTCCCCTCAAGTGAGCTTGTTGGCATTTGGCCAACTGTTTTTTGTCGACTTGCGTCGTTCCATGCCCGCACCCTTTCGCACTGCTTCAGCCATCCAGAAAGGCCGTGTCGCAGTTCAGACTTCATCAGTGCATGTGTCTATTTCTTGCTTTTCACGTTTGTGCTGCTGTGGCCTTTTGGCATTCATTTGGGGATTCTTCACTGCCATTGCCTATTTACTTCGATTTGAAAGTGGGGATGAGCTGTAATAACATGGATGCCTTCGAGTCACATTTAGCTTTCTCGAGACGTGCAGTGTGGGGGTCAATTTTCAATCCAATTTACGTTGTGCGCCCTCCAATTTCAATTCCTGGCAGCAGCTTACCCTTGGTCCCAAGACCGTGTGGGGTCATCGCAGTGGCCTCTCCTGAGCATGAGGCGGAAGAAGACAGCCCTGACAAACATGAGGCTCTGAGAGTTTTCAGGGCCAAAAGGACTGTGACAGGACGATCTTGGGAGGCCCTGTTGAATTCACAGAGAGTTGCTGCAATTCGGAAGTGGGCTGGAATTATTATGATGTATTTGAACTCATTTGAGATTGGCAGACAATGGGACCGCTTGTCACCTATGGGGCAGGCATTGGGCGATGGTTTGAGGCACATTTTCGCGGGGAAGGCTACTGGCACTTTACATGCACGTGCCAGCCCAATTCTGCGATACGTCATGTGGTGTGACAAGAAGGGCAATCTTGCCTTCCCGTTGGTTGAGGCTACGATTTATCAATTCATGTGTGAACATGCTGACACTGCTGCTCCGACATTTTTGCGGTCTTTCCTGGTGGCAATTAGATTTTCTTTTCATGTCCTTGGGGTTACAGGTGGAGACTTGGTACTTGCAAGTAAAAGGATTGAAGGGTGTGCGCGTGAGGCGTACCTGAGGAAAAGGCGTACCCTGCAGAAAGATCCTCTCAGTGTGGCCATGGTTGAGCACTTGGAGAAAGTCGTCATGGCAGAGAGGTATCCAGATCGAGACAGGGTGGCTGCGGGGTGCTTTTTGCTGTGCGTATTTTTCAGGGCCCGTTTTTCAGATATGATGAACTTGCAGGACCTCATTTTGGATGAACTGATAGTGGACGGCACTGCCCAGGGTTACATCGAAGGGAAGGTTGGTCGAACAAAATCAGCCTACACCACTGAAATGAAAACGAGGTATCTTCCTATGGTTGCACCGCGTTATGGTGTTACTGGGCAAGACTGGTTCAGTGCATGGCAAGAAGCTTGTATCAGATGTGGCAAACCCAAGGGTGAGTCAATGCCAATGCTCCCATACCCTTCTAAGAGCGGTTGGACGAGGACGCCATTGGGTGCTGGAGAAGGTGCTGACTGGCTGCGACAGTTATTGCAGGTTTCTGGCATTCCAAGTGGATCCATGGGAAACATTGGAACTCATTCCCTCAAGGCCACGACACTCAGTTGGATGGCTAAGTTTGGGGCGCCCATCAGTATCAGGCAGCACTTGGGTTACCACATGCCGAGTGCTGACAAGATGGCACTTCTGTATTCTCGTGATGCATCAGCTGGACCCATCCGTAAGCTGGAAGAATGCCTTGCTGAGATCAGGGCAAAGTCTTTTCTCCCAGATGCCACACGATCTGGTTATTTTCCGATGCAGGCACAACGACCTGATCCTGATGTTGAGCAGGGCCTTTCTGGACGTGGTTCAAATGGGCATGACTGGGCAACTGATTTCAGCGATTCAGATTCGGAGGATTCGAGAGATGATGAGCATGCCTTCGAAGAGCAGCAGTTGAATGAGGAGGCCATGGACCACGTCGTAGGCCCTTGGGATGAGCATGCAACACTGGAATCCTTGGGCCTTCATGAAGATGCCCCGCTCTTCAGGAATCGTTTTACCAGATACATTCATTTGCTTGCAGAGGAAGGGGGTAACAAGTTTCGATGTGGCAGAGAGGTGAATTGTAAATATGAGGAACTTGAACGAAGGCCCAAATTCATGTCGCCACAGTGCAGCCAATGCTTCAGAGATGTTGTCAGCTGAGGTTTGAAAAAAGAAAAAAAAAACGTTTCAGTTGAAACCAAAAAAAATGTGGATCGCCTTGCTTGATTCAAATTTGTAGAATCAAAGATTTGACTGCATGAGCAGACTTGCTATGTGCACATGATTTGAACCGAAGATGCCACTTGGGCATAGACCACTTGGGTCATTCAACATTTGGTTGGTGTGCGTGGTTCAAGCGGCGTAATTGACGCCATGTTGGGTATCCACTTGGGATCCCGTGCAAGTATGTGTGCAAGATACTTTACAGTTGCCCCTGTTTGAACCCATACCCATAGTCCACCTTTCCCATCACCAGGTTTGACTTCATACCCATAGTCCTCCCAGTGTATAGTGGATGAAACAAAACTCATGAAATGAAAAATTTCTTTTTGCTGCCTGGATTTCATTTTGCAATGTCACTCACCGACAGCGAGCCAAACTTCAGGGCCCGTGCGGCTGCGCTTGGGTTGACAGATGACGTCGTTGAAGCCTTGTGCACCAATGGTGTGAACACACTTGCAAAGTACGCCTTCAGTTCTGCATATGTCCCAGGAAATTCAGATGAGGCCCCATTTGTGACAGCCATGACAACCGCTTTAGGTGCAGATCCAACCCTTGGACAACTTGCATCACTAAGGAGGCTTTTCCATGAGGCCTACAGCCTTACAGCAGCGGAGCTCAAGCACTCAGTTGAACGGGTCGAAGACATGCCAGTAAAGAAACTAGCCCAGCCTGAACGTGCAGACAGATTGAAACGTCAGCAGTCCAAACTGAAGGGTATCCGTATTGAAGGAAAACTTGAACCAAGCGACAGGCTGGTAGACCTTGCAGTGTCCTTGTACGAGGAGAACAGACTGCAGCATGTTGAACTTAGCAGGTGCACTTCGAAAGAACAGGAGGTCTTGAACTCATCCCAGCGTGAAGACAAACATGTTGCAATTGATGCAAGTGGAGCTGTCCGCATTCGCGACAAGGAACACAAAATGGAAGCAGATTTATCATCAGACATGTTTGTCAGGTTGGCTTTGATGAGACGAGGCCTCGCCTTTGACCAGGCGAACTTGCTGGACTACCTGGAGCATGACAGGTGGGTTGAAAAGATTTTTGACTGTAGGGTTGCGAGTCAGCCGGACGGATATTCCAAAATCAGCATGCAGCAGATTATCAATGCAGACCGAAAGCTGTTTGTCAAACTTGCAGAAGGGAGCAGATCTGGCGTCCAGACCACAGCCACAGGCCGACCACTGGATGCAATTTTTAGGACCACCATGGAGCACCCTGATGTTTTGCACTTGTTGCAGCCGTTGCCAAATAGCATTAGCACGTCAGTCAAGAGGACTAGTGATGCCAGTCACGACAGGCCTGAGGCTAAGGTCCCTAGACCCAAGAATAAGGGCAAAGGAAAGTCAAAGGGTCAGGGCGGTGGATCACTTACCATCAAAATGCCGGCTGGACTTGAAGGCGGGGCACCTGGAAACCGCAACAACCAGCCCATATGTTTCGACCATAACCTTCCTCATGGCTGCAAATTGCCCGTGACCAAAGGCCGCTGCCGGAAAGGTATGCACATTTGCTGCATGAAAAATTGCTTCCAGTCGAACCATACCTTCCAGACGTGCCCAAACAAACGCAGCAGCTGACTCGGGGAGTGCAATGTTTCACCCAACAACACTTGCGCTGGTGACTCTATAAGAGATGCAGCTGGTGCAGCAACAGTGGAAGATCCTGGCTTACCCGCCATTGAAGGCGTTGAAGCGGGGACAACAAAACGAGGCGCTCCCTTGATCATGGAAATATGTGCAGGGACTGCCATTTTGAGTAAATGTTTCAAGGACTGTGGTTTTGAGCATTTGGCCATAGACCATAAATCCAACCGTTTTCACTCGTATGTCACTGTTTGCAATGTGGAGCTGTCGACAGAGCATGGATGGGCTTTCCTTTACCATATCATCGAGCATTACAATGTTGTTTTTGTACATGCAGCACCGCCGTGCGGAACATGCAGCCGTGCCAGAGAAATCCCGCTTGGTCCTGGTGGGGGACCAAAGCAGTTGCGTAGTGAAGATTACCCATCGGGACTGCCACATTTGGAAGGCAGAGATCTTGAGCGAGTTCAACTGGCAAATTCATTGTATAGTGGGCTGACAAAGTTTTTGACCAAATGCACCTTGCAAGACATTCCTTGGAGCGTTGAAAACCCAGCTTCAAGCTATTTGTGGCTTATTCCATGCTTTGCTAATTTGATTGCTGAAACGCCATGCAGGTTTTACAATTATGACACATGCGCATGGGGGTCAACTCGGAAGTTGCAACGGTCCTTCCTTTCTACTTTGCCTGCAATGTGCGGCATCCAAGCCCGCTGCCCTGGTGACCACGAACATGCCCCGTTTGGGCGCACACGGCAGAGTGACGGAACCTTCAAATATGCCACTAGTGATGAAGCAGCATACACCAAACAGTTGTGTGTTCAGGTCGTTTCCATTGTGCAGAATGCTTTGCAACTTTTTCCACAGAAGTTTGAGGCCGACCCCAGCAATGTTGCAGTCAACCATAAAGGAATGATTGCCATGCAGAAACAACCGGCAGGACGACGTATGCCTCCCTTGATTTCCGAATTTGAGCGATTTGAAACAATTATAGCTGCATCGATGCCCACAACCGATGCCAAAGGTTGCTTGACGGCCTGCCTCCAACATGTTCCTAGTGGTTCAAAGCTGCTCAGTTTTTCGAAAAAGGGGGATGGCGAGAGCAGCTTGGTTTTGAAGTTTGGCATTTACAGAACTCCCATGACTTGGATTGACAGGTCATTGACGTTGCACCACCCTTTTGACAATTTTCATGCCGTTCCTGATCAAATGCTTGATGTTTTATTTTTCATATTGACCACGTCCCCTGCAGACGTTTGCAATTTTAGGATTTCCAAAATGAAACTCTGGATGAGCTGGGCTGAAGAGCTTGAAGCACAAGAGAGGGAACACAAGCTGAGCCTTGACCTGGAAGTCAGGCAAATCCTTGCGCCCAAAAGGCTCCTCTTGCTCAGGAAGATAGCTCGCAGCTTGGATTGGCCTGATACCAATCTTTTTGACGAAATCGATGCAGGGTTCAAACTCACCGGAATCCAGAGCCCTTCAAATGTTTTTGGACTTGAACCCAGGCCACCGCAAGCCTCTGAAGGGGAGCTCTGGGCCAGTGCAAAATTCATCAGACCTGCGTTGATCGGCAAGGTCAAAAGTGCAGCTCTTGATACTGAGAGTCAACCATTGTGGGATGCTACAATGGAGGAAGCGAGCAACCACCACTGGATGACTGGCCCACATACAGTCGAACAAGTTCATGATATTTTCAATGGACAGCCATGGATACCTGTGAGACGCTTCTCAGTTCTTCAGTCCTCGGGTGATAGAATGAAACTCCGGCCTATTGACGATTTCGCTGAAAACCGCGTGAACACGGCCTATGGCTACTCAGATAAGCTGGATTTGCGTACCTTAGACCAGGTCGTGTGGATGACAGCTGCCATCACCCGTGCGTTAGCCTTGGGATATATCTCATTTCGAAGGAGTGATGGGACCCTGCTGGAGGGGAAGGTCCACTCCGCTTATTTGGAAGAGGGTGGTGGCCGACCTCTCCTTTCTGTTTTGGATTTGTCATCAGCGTACAAACAATTTGCGATTAGCAAAGACTGCAGGCGGCTCTCTGTTATCGCCCTTAAGGATCCTTCAGACAGTTCTTGCAAGTGTTTCATTGGCAATGTGCTGCCATTTGGGGCGACAGCCAGCGTGGTTCACTTTAACCGCGTGTCCCGGCTGATCCATTCCATTGGGCTCCATGCTGGACTACTCTGGGGAAATTATTTCGACGATTTTCCAATGGTAGCACCTTGCATTTTGAAGCAGTCCTCAATGAACATGGCCAAGCTCCTACTTGATTTGCTCGGGTTCCAGTTTGCTGACCATAAACTGAAGCCCTTTGACGCAAAGGCCACGGTTCTTGGGGTTGAGATTGACACCAGCAAAGCTATGGATGGTTTTGTCCTGGTGAGGAATAAGCCCGGCAGGGTAACAGAGGTCACGGATACAGTCAATGGAATCCTGGCTCGTGGCACACTGACGTCAAAAGAAGCTAGCCGGATCCTGGGCCGTATACAATTTGCAGATGCTCAGATCATGGGTAGAGTCGGAAGGATCGCCATGCACGAGTTCAGGCTTGCCATTAAAAGCCAAGAGAGCATCGCCCTGGATCGGTGTGCCATTGAATCACTGCATGTCCTAATGGACAGACTTTCTTCTGGAGAACCTCGAATGATCCCGTGCTGCGACCAGAGGCGGCCCATTTTGGTTTTCACTGACGGAGCCAGCGAGGTTTCTGGCCACACTATTGGTGGAGTTATGTCCAATGACAACAAGTTTGAATATTTTTCATGTGCGGTGCCGGAGCGCCTGGTTGAGGAATGGGGATCCATGTTTTCCCACTTCATAGGACTCGTGGAGATGTATGCCATATTGGTGAGCCGGCTTCTCTGGGATGATCACCTTAGTGGGTCACGCACCATTTATTTTATTGATAACAACAGCTCGATGGATGCATGCATCAAGGGGACCTCCGGATCTAAACCTGTCCGAGAGCTGTTGCTGTGCTGGGAGAAAATGGAAGAGAAAGCCCGGACTTGGACCTGGTTCACAAGGGTCCCGAGTCAGAGCAACCCGGCTGATGAGCCATCTAGAGCATGCCATGACCTGATGGTGAAGCTTGGGGCCGTGAGGCGTCAGGCAACTTGTCCTCTGACCGGAGTCCCTCTTGTAGACTTGTAAAAATAATAAATCTTTGGTTGAAAGAAAGTGGAGAATGACTGAGATGTGTGACAATGTTAAATTCTCTGTGTGCCCGTTTCCATTTGGGAACGATGTCTTGCTTTGGTATGTGAGTGAATGATGGAACTGGTGATTGGCGTTTCATGTGGAAACGATGCAGACCGTACCAATGCAAATGAAACCATAGATGCAGTGACATCGAGACTTGCCCACGTGAAAAAAGGACAGCATGCGTGACCGAGTGAAACTCCATTGTCCAAACGAAACAAACTGATTTCCAGCCGTTCTTTTCCAGTGTGTGTTTTGTGAATTTCGGTGATCTCATTTGCGGAACTTTGGCGTATTCGTGCGTACTCCTTTGGATATATATATGTATTTATTCGTACGTATGTATTTGTGTGGTTTTGGTTTGGTTGTATGTTTGTATGACTGGTACGCCTATGAGTATGTTGGGTCCCCCTCCTTGTTTGTTGAACCCCTGGGTTCTTTTGTTGGGGGGCCCCCCTTTGTTATATTTGGTTGAGCAAGAGTTTATAAGTTTCACTAGGCGCTAGCCTTGTTACCTTATCAACTCGCAGGTGTGGCGTGTGCCACCTCAACCAAAAAAAAAAACCCTGAACCCCCCCCAAAAAAAAAGTAGGAGGGGGTTGGTGGCCTGAAGAAACACTCTGTGTTTGCGAGAGACTTTTGTGCTTGTGTTTCTTTTAACCGCTGTTTTGTTTAAACACCAACTGTTTGAAACATTCAACCTGGTTTGTGGAATGTTTGTTTTCTGGGGTCACTGCGTAATGTGTGAATGATGCAGTTTCCCCTCAAGTGAGCTTGTTGGCATTTGGCCAACTGTTTTTGTCCCCCCCCTTGCTTTGCACTCCCTCCCTGTCTCTCTCTGTTTCTTGTCTCTGTGGGACATGCTATATACATATCAAGTATGTTATCGTAATGTTGACAGTTGGTCAGCATTTGTTTTCCTCGTCATGTTTGACGAGGCGTCCACATGGGACATTGACATTTGGTCAATTCGAGCACTTGGCTCCAGCTTTTTCGTTTTTCCGAACTGTCCATACCAATTTTGCTATGTATTTTTCCAATGAGCTTTTCAGCCAAATCGTGGAACTGACCTTGCTGTATATGACTTTTCTCCATGACAATGAAAACCGATTAGACCTTGACAAATTCAGCCAGGTCGAATCACTTCAGGAGATTTTCTACACCATTTTATGCCAATGCGGCGATGCAATCTTCCTGCAATCCGCCAAGATGTACTGGAAGGCCACTACTTCAGCCCTTGCCATGATTGAGGGCCAACACTGCCCTACTATCGATACACCAACTCAGATCGACCGAAATGGACCCTTGCGCTGTTTGGCCACACTTTCAGCTCCGCAGTTCGCCCATTTGGCACAACACGTTGACGAGGCCAAACAAGGATTGCACGAGTTTTCTGCCTTCTTGCAGGCCTATGGACATCCGCAATCCTTCCATGATCATGCGCAAGACTGTTTACTAATTCTGGACGATCTGAGTCATGTTTTGGGCCTTCCCAGAACACTTCGCGATGCCAACCATCCTGGTTTTGCACGAGGGGAATGACTGAGATGTGTGACAATGTTAAATTCTCTGTGTGCCCGTTTCCATTTGGGAACGATGTCTTGCTTTGGTATGTGAGTAAATGATGGAACTGGTGATTGGCGTTTCATGTGGAAACGATGCAGACCGTACCAATGCAAATGAAACCATAGATGCAGTGACATCGAGACTTGCCCACGTGAAAAAAGGACAGCATGCGTGACCGAGTGAAACTCCATTGTCCAAACGAAACAAACTGATTTCCAGCCGTTCTTTTCCAGTGTGTGTTTTGTGAATTTCGGTGATCTCATTTGCGGAACTTTGGCGTATTCGTGCGTACTCCTTTGGATATATATATGTATTTATTCGTACGTATGTATTTGTGTGGTTTTGGTTTGGTTGTATGTTTGTATGACTGGTACGCCTATGAGTATGTTGGGTCCCCCTCCTTGTTTGTTGAACCCCTGGGTTCTTTTGTTGGGGGGCCCCCCTTTGTTATATTTGGTTGAGCAAGAGTTTATAAGGGTTGCTCGGGGACAAGTAAAATCGCAATTTTTCCTCAGTTTTTGACGATCGACCCTCATTTCGTGCGAAAGGGTTGACGTTTCGTGACTCACCGCCGGCACCACCCTCGGCCTAAAGAGAGAAAGATAAAGAAGGCGAGAGAGAGAAAAGGGAGAGAGAAAGGAGAGAAGATGTGAAGATGAGAAGATGTGAAGAGGAGCAGATGTGAAGATGAGCAGATGTGAAGATGAGCAGATGTGAGAGAAGATGTGAGAGAAGATGTGAAGATGAGCAGATGTGAGAGAAGATGTGAAGATGAGCAGATGAAGATGTGAAGATGAGCAGATGTGAGAGAAGATGTGAAGATGAGCAGATGTGAAGATGAGCAGATGTGAGAGAAGATGTGAGAGAAGATGTGAAGATGAGCAGATGTGAAGATGAGAAGATGTGAGAGAAGGTGTGAAGATGAGAAGATGTGAGAGAAGGTGTGAAGATGAGCAGATGTGAAGATGAGCAGATGTGAGAGAAGATGTGAAGATGAGCAGATGTGAAGATGAGCAGATGTGAGAGAAGATGTGAGAGAAGATGTGGACATGAGCAGATGTGAAGATGAGCAGATGTGAGAGAAGATGTGAGAGAAGATGTGAAGATGAGCAGATGTGAGAGAAGATGTGAAGATGAGCAGATGTGAAGATGAGCAGATGTGAGAGAAGATGTGAGAGAAGATGTGAAGGTGAGCAGATGTGAAGATGAGCAGATGTGAGAGAAGATGTGAGAGAAGATGTGAAGATGAGCAGATGTGAGAGAAGATGTGAAGATGAGCAGATGTGAAGATGAGCAGATGTGAGAGAAGATGTCAGAGAAGATGTGAAGATGAGCAGATGTGAGAGAAGATGTGAAGATGAGAAGATGTTTTACAGACCCCCACTATTGGAAGAACCCTGCGCTCAGACGCTCTCGGGAACAACATTCCCAAAAGGCTTTTTGTTTCAAAGTGTTTCTCCTATTTCGATCGTTGTGGGTGGCCAGAAGAGTTGTCTCAGAATATTGCTTTTCTTCAATGTGGTTTTGGAAGCACACATTCATGAACAAATGTAGTTTGAATGGGTTTTAAGCTGTGATTTAATGTGATTCATATATACAGCCTTTTGATGTTTTTTTTCGCATGTTGCACGTGAAAATCCGATGTGTGGCCTTTCTAGAGATTTGCAACCGCAATTCCATAAATCATAATCGCATATATTCGCTCTATAACTGACCTGGATCTGTACCCAAAAATTGTACCACGGAAACTGCGCTAGGTCGGACACAAGTCACTTGAGTGCATCAGACAAATTCACGTGATGTGTGGTTTCAATATTTTCAATCGATATTCGCAAAGTTTGGATCGGAGTTGAACAACTCCAAACTATACCACTGTACGCCTGTACTGTACAGTACCCCAAAACCGTACCAACGTATACCTTACCACTCTACCGTACCGCGCCCCAAAACCATACCCCAAAACAGTCTCACTTACTGTATATACCAGAAAAAGGATGTATTTTTTCGTAGGGTCGGGAGTGTACCAATACTAAGCACCCTACCGTACCACTGTACCGTACCGTACCCTAAAACCGTACTCCAAAACCGTACCCCGAAAACCGTATACCCAAAACCGTACCCCAAAACCGTACCCCGAAAACCGTACCCTGAAAAACCGTACCCGAAAACCGTACCCCAGAACCGTACCCCGTACCCGTACCCAAATAAGGACATATATCATATATCGATATACCTTTTTGAGTGTACCAATACTCGCACAGTCCCGACCCTACGAAAGGATACCAACTTATAAAGTTTTGAGGTACGGCTTTGGGATACGGTGTGGTACAGTGGTAAGGTTTTGTGGTATGGTGTGGTACGGTCGTATGGTTTTGGGGTGCGGTTTGGTACAATGGTAGGGTACGGTGGTACGGTTTTGGGGTATAGTCGGGTCGAATTGTTGGGGACAGATATAGCGCAGTTAGCATGGAGCGGCATTGATGCTTAGGATGTTTTTTGAGCATTCAACACCTTTACTATGGTGTAGTTCACAAGACTGGGAATGTGCAGGTACCATCAGGTACCCAAACGCAAAATAACACAAAGCCTCGTATGTATTAACATGTTTCAGACGCAAGGCAAATGCCTGGCGCAGAAATTCACCCAATAAAGCAATAAGGACACGAACGCACACACACACATACAACTATACATACATACATACATACATACATACATACATAATCATATATATATATCAATATATATCAATATATAGTCTGTGCGATTAGCAATTTGTTGTGTAGCTCTTGCATATTGGAAATTCTCGAGTATTTAGTTTCACATATTATATTCGGAGTTTGGAATTGCAATTTCTGGTTAAATGACACACAAGTGACCACATCAACGAACTCACAAGCAGACCCACGATTCGACAAGAAAAATGCAGCAAATGCACTCACACGCAAGCAAGGACCATACAGGGGCCCATAGAGGACATGGATTTGTTACTGTAGCCAGACGTACATGGACGCAGCTCACCCGTGGGCCATACAAACCAGGTCGTGGTTTGTGACAAGTTTTGTATCTTGTATGTCAGTAATATTCACAACTACACAAAAGTAGAAAAAGCAAACAAACGCGCAAGCAAACTCAAGTAGAAATGCAAAACAAATGACAAACAAACACCAACAAAAAAACAACTGATGTGGCCCCTTTGCGTTTGTGGTCGCGGATCCAATCTGCTTTAGCTCTGAAAACCAAAAGAAAACACAAAGATAAACATGATAAACTCATTTTGTTTGAGGGATCAGAGGCATCTGTTTAGGGCTACTGATTTCCACCTTGGGCATACTGTATACTAGAAAAAGTAGTAGTGTGCGCGTGCGTCCGCATAAGTTACACGAAACGGCATGGGGCCCAACATTTACCAATCCAGAAGTCATCTTTGATCATGACCCCGTGACCTATCGAAAATATTTTATTTCAAGTGGTGAGCCACCAGGGCCACTACCACTACCATCACATACTACAGTGTCAAAACCCCTCACACACACAGCCTTAGACGATTCAGTCCGCTTGTCGACGCAATCTCCCCTCATGAACTTGAAGTCTGAATGCTTTTTGTGTACAGTCTAGATGCTATATAGCACCAGTATCACATACATGCGTCCCTGCATGAAGAAATGCGCTAATATATACTAATATCATGTATTTAATATATGTGTCCAACAAAAAATAACATACAGTGCCTTGCATCTAGAGTGTGTCTCAATATTAACAGTCTACCCTTTTGTGCTGCATACATCTGCACACTTCATTTGGCTGAGCTGTTATCCATGTGTGTTCTCACACAATCCCTAGATTGCTCAATTTGCCCCCCGCTTTGCATTTGATGTGCTTCACTTGCGTTTCACGTGTTGCTATTCCATATATTGATATATATATATATTGATATATATTGATGGTGCCATGCATGCCGTCCCATGCATGCCACTTGCTGTGCTTTTGATGGCGTGCGTCAGTTTTTGTCATGTTCAATTCGTTTCATTTCATTTGATTTCGTTTAGTGTTCTTTTATTTCCTTTCATGTCATTTATTTGTTTCGCATGCTTCCCAACAATGAATGTAAGAAATCCTGCACCAGCTTGGATAGTGGAAACCCTGTAAATAATGGGATAAAACAGCTACCAACTGGTGCAGGATGTTTTTTTCCATCCACTGCAATCAACTTGATCAAACTTGTAGAGTATTATATTCGGTTTTGAGTGTCATCCATGTTCTCCATTTTCCTGTTGTTGTTCTGGTGTTTTGTTGTTGCCTTGGTAGTTTTATGTTCGATTGGTGCTTGGGGTTAGTTTTTATTGGGTTAGTTTTTTGTTTGTGTACGTTGGTGTTGGGTTTGCTTTTTGGTTCTGTTGTTTGTTGATGTTGATTTGCACTAAAGCATGCGGTTTTCTTGTCATTGTTTGTGTGAGTTTCTACACAGGCCTCAAAGGCCATCAGCGTAGCCCATTGAGCAAAACCAGTGAATCTAAATAAGATAAGATACATGATATTCTGGCGAGATGTGCTGTTGTATCCTGAAATCTTCACAACATAAAAATGATTTACAACGCTTATTTATGTGAGTCTAGTAGTTTCCTCCGCCGGACACAGATTCGGTTTTTAGGGTTTAGAGCAAGAACTACTAGTTCAGCAATGACAATAAGGTGTCTATGGTTGATGATCATGTTCAGTTAAAAGTCTACAATCATCAAGTTCTGCCGTGGTATACACCACCTTCTACATCTCAATGATTTCAATAATATATCACCGTATCATATCATACCCCAATGCAGTACCATCATATCGCACTATGTATTAAAAAACTTATCATAATCATATCTTATCATTATATCGTGCCATGACCCCAAAACCGTACCACTGATCCGTACCACTGCACCGTACCATGACCCCAAAACCGTACCATCGTACCGCACCATGACCTCGAAACCGTACCTCCAATCGTACCCCGTTCCAAGCATCCAAATTCACACCTACTTTGAAAATTCATAAGATATAACTGATATAACGAAGAAATTCTTTTTTGACAAAACAACAAAATTGCAATTTGAATCCAATGGTCGATGCTTCCATGTGATGATGATGATGATGACGATGATGATGGTGATGATGATGATCTTCATGTTTGGATTCAATCCATTTTTGGCGGTGAATCCGAGTCAATCCCTCTTTCTCTGCCCGGTTGTTATATACCATTTTTGAAGCTTCACCCCCTGAAGCGTTGTTTGTCTCGAGGAAGTCGGGAGAAAGCAATCATCCGTGCCTGGGTTCAGATGGGCAAAACGTGGGAAATAGCTGGACACATGGAAATCAAGGCTACAGCTATAGCGGCCATCCAAGTCAAGCTGATCCCAGGACTTCAGTGACTTCTATCTCTTACGATGTTTAACCTCCCCTTCTGTGGTGTTTAAACTTCTGAGCACTAGCCGCACCCAGGTCAGAGAGGCCTGGGGCTGAATCTTTGGAACCTTCCAGTCCTTTTCCCGTTGGAAAAGTCTGTATATAGATCAGCGGTGGAAAAACTGCCACAGCTGAAGATTGTCAAGGCACCTGCAGGCTGTGATCAAAAGATCGATTGTGGCCTTGGGATCGATGGTGAAACAAAGAAATTGGCACGGCAGGGTGATCCTGGGATGGGCACAGATTGGAAAAAAATCAGCATGAACATGTCAACTATGCAGATCAAATGCCAAATGACTGTTTCAACCTTTGCTTCTTTGGTTTGCTCATGGTTGGCTCAAACTGAAAAGTGATTTGCACATCTTTTACATGCAAAAACACATCAAACCCCAAAAAAAGCAGCGGAAAACCGGACGCCACCAGCGGCAAGCGCTTTGTCTCGGGATGGATCATAGCGAGTTGCTGGAGAAGCTCCAGCAGAGCGAACGGATCCAGCTGGGGATCTCAGATCTCAGGGGGTTCACCGCCATTGTCGCATGGTGAAAGTTCCCAGGTTCCAACTGTTCCAAGGTTTCAAAACTTCAGATGCTTCAATTTCACAAAACCGGGAACCCGGGTAGGGAACATTCCTGGACTTAGGACTACTTAGGACTTGCTTTTTCCCCAACAGCAGAATGCTTTGGGGTCTTCAGCCATAGTAAAGGTTTCGGAGCAGACCGGAGCAGCTCCAAAACCCATTCCCCCAAGGTTCCCAGGTTCCAAGTAAAGGTTCCCAGGTTCCCAAGTCAAGGTTCCCAGGTTCCCAAGTAAAGGTTCCCAGGTTCCCAAGCCAAGTAAAGGTTCCCAAGTAAGGTTCCTCAAGGTTCCCAAAAGGTTCCCTCAAGGTTCCTTCAAGGTTCCCTGCAAGGTTCCCAAGTTTTCCAAGTAAAGGTTGTCAAGGTTCCCAGGTTCCCAAGTAAAGGTTCCCAAGTAAACGTGGTCCAGGTTCCCAAGGTGACATTGCAAAGGTTTCTATAAGATTCCCAAGGTTAGATTGTCAAGGTTCCCTCAAGGTTCCCAAAAGGTACCCTCAAGGTTCCTTCAAGGTTTCTTCAAGGTTCCCTGAAGGTTCCCAAGTTTTCCAAGGTTCCCAAGGTTGTATTGTAAAGGTTCCCTCAAGGTTCCCAAGGTTACATTGTAAAAGGTTCTCAAGGGTTCCAAGGTTATATTGTCAAGGTTTCTTCAAGCTTTCCAAGGTTGCATTGTAAAGGTTCCCTCAAGGTTCCCAAGGTTACATTGTAAAGGTTCTCAAGGGTTCCAAGGTTATATTGTCAAGGTTTCCTCAAGCTTTCCGAGGTTGCATTGTAAAGGTTCCCTCAAGATTCCCAAGTTTCCCAAGTAAAGGTTGTCAAGGTTCCCAAGGTTATTATGTAAAGGTTCCCAAGTAGTAATATTCGTCGTAAATTAACTTCTTTAAGAAATTTGAATGGAGCTACACGCGCGGAACCCGCGCAAAACGCAGACGCGAATAACGCGCATAACGCGCGGAAACCGCGCGAAACGTAGACGCGCGGAACCTGCGCGTACTATTAATACTTCTAGTAGTAGTAGTAGTAGCAGTAGCAGTAGCAGTAGCAGTAGCAGTAGCAGTAGCAGTAGCAGTAGCATTAGCAGTAGGAGTAGTAGTAGTAGTAGTAGTAGGAGTAGTAGGAGTAGTAGGAGTAGTAGGAGTAGTAGTAGTAGTAGCAGTAGCAGTAGCAGTAGCAGTAGCAGTAGCAGTAGCAGTAGCAGTAGTAGTAGTAATAATAATAATATCGTACTCATCACCCATATCGGCCTGCCAGACCAAACCGACACATGCCAAACGTTTGGTTGCTCTGTTGGACGGAGGCGAACAGAGCAACTCGGAGTCGAACAAAGCAACTAGCACCCGAAAACCACTCTTTTCCAAGCTATTTGCTCTATAAGTCCCCACCTGTCAGGTGAGATTTGTTAGATCATATGTTATCTCTTCTCTTCCTCCTTCTTCCACCAAACCTCAACTTCTAAAGAGATCGGTCAAGATGGGGATCGCACGAATCATTGTTGTTTCTGGAAGATTTGGAGCATAAAGTTTGCATGCTCCCACTGTAATTTCCCAACGTTCACGGCGCGCACTGGAAGGAGAAGCTGGCAGCAATGTTCCAATCAGAAGGGTGGCTTGGCCCGATGAAGGTCGTGCGGCAAAGTGACAGCGACACCTTCACCTATGTGTCTGGGCACACCAGGACGTGCAGCTTGTATTGCTATCTTCGTATGGCTTTCGACTTGCAGCTGGAGCTTCCGAAGTGGATGCGGTCTATGGCCCAGTCTGTGCCTGTCATGGTCGTGAAGGAGCCGGTGTCAGATGCAGATCGGCAGAAAAAGATTGTAAATACAAAAGCAGATGTAAATACAAAACGCTGATTCATTGCTACTGGTGCATAATCCGCCTTCTTGCTCTTTTAAACGCTTTTATACTGGAGAAAACAAACCTAGAAGAACACAATTTTCAAACCTTACGCGAAGCGAAAGTAAAGAACAATAATACACAAAATATCAACAAACTTTAAGCCTGTTGTTTAGATGTCAGAATGTATGCGAGATGCAATGCCAGAACGCAATTCAAATAAAATCACATGGAGCACTTTATGAAGACTTCAAGCAAACGCATTTGAAAAACCAGCGACAAAAGCGAAGCGCCATTAAAAAAAAAAGCGGCATAGCATGAAAACATGAGGTTAAAAAATCACGTAAGTGTAGTTACATCTATAAGGTCTGATCTAAAGAAAGTCCAGAGACGAAACAAATCTGTATAGTTTTTCAAACCTTGATTTATACCTAGAATGGACAGGTGGATTCTGGAATCCGGGACCCGGGATTCGGGACCCGGGACCCGGATCCCGGGACCCAGATGCAGGAATCTAAATCCGCGACTATTTTTATCCAAAAATATACATATATTGAACGCGGTCATTGCTAGTAGTGAACTATCTATCTTATTGCTTTGTTGAACACTATCTATACGAACCAAGAAGAACGCAATTTTCGGACCTTACGCAAATCGCGCCGAATTTTGAAAAGGACGTAAGTAAAGAACGATAATACACAAATTATCGACAAACTTTAAACCTGTTGTTTAGATGTCAGAATGTATGCCAGATGCAATGCCAGAACGCAATTCAAATAAAATCACATGGAACACTTTATGAACACTTCAAGCAAACGCATTTGAAAAACCAGCGACAAAAGGGAAGCGCCATTCCAAAAAAACGGCATAGCATGAAAACATGAGGTTAAAACATCACGTAAGTGTAGTTGCACCTGAGTGCCATGCGTACAAGAGACATGTACCTGGTGACAATATACATATCATTATCCATGCCAAGACATGCAGAATTTATTTTCCATCATCGATTACCTGTGTCTTCGTGTAATTAAAATTTTCAAAAAAAGAACATATTTCAAAAATACACCCGTGTAGACAAGCGAGAAATGTACAACTCATACCAAAACTATTTACATCTACAAGGTCTGATCTAAAGAAAGTCCAGAGATGAAACAATTCTGTATAGTTTTTCAAACCTTGATTTCTACCTAGAGTGGACAGGTGGATTCTGGAATCCGGGACCCGGGATTCGGGACCCGGGGTCCGGGACCCGGGGTCCGGGGCCCGGAGTCCGGATCCCGGGACCCAGATGCAGGAACCTAAATCCGCGATTATTTTTATCCAAAAATAAACATATATAGCTAAATTCAAGACATGAAAACGTAGAATCTGACAAATATCTAATCGTGGTTTGTTTTTTTTCATTGAACGCGGTCATTGCTAGTAGTGAACAATCTATCTTATTGCTTTGTTGAACACTATCTGTAGGAACCAAGAAGAACACAATTTTCGGACCTTACGCAAATCGCGCCGAATTTTGAAAAGGACGTAAGTAAAGGTTCCCAAGTAAAGGTTCCCAAGTCAAGGTTCCCAGGTTCCCAAGTAAAGGTTCCCAAGTCAAGGTTCCCAGGTTCCCAAGTAAAGGTTCCCAAGGTTCCCTCAAGGTCCCCAAGGTTCCTCAAGGTTCCCTCAAGGTTCCCAAAAGGTTCCCTCAAGGTTCCTTCAAGGTTCCCTGCAAGGTTCCCAAGTTTTCCAAGAAAAGGTTGTCAAGGTTCCCAAGATTATTGTGTAAAGGTTCCCAAGTAAACGTGGTCCAGGTTCCCAAGGTGACATTGTAAAGGTTTCTATAAGATTCCCAAGGTTAGATTGTCAAGGTTCCCTCAAGGTTCCCAAAAGGTACCCTCAAGGTTCCTTCAAGGTTTCTTCAAGGTTCCTGAAGGTTCCCAAGTTTTCCAAGGTTCCCAAGGTTGTATTGTAAAGGTTCCCTCAAGGTTCCCAAGGTTACATTGTAAAAGGTTCTCAAGGGTTCCAAGGTTATATTGTCAAGGTTTCTTCAAGCTTTCCAAGGTTGCATTGTAAAGGTTCCCTCAAGGTTCCCAAGGTTACATTGTAAAGGTTCTCAAGGGTTCCAAGGTTATATTGTCAAGGTTTCCTCAAGCTTGCCGAGGTTGCATTGTAAAGGTTCCCTCAAGATTCCCAAGTTTCCCAAGTAAAGGTTGTCAAGGTTCCCAAGGTTGTATTGTAAAGGCTCCCTCAAGGTTCCCAAGTTTTCCTCGTAAATGTTCTCAAGGTCCCCAAGGTTATTATGTCAAGGTTCCCAAGTAGTAATATTCGTCGTAAATTAACTTCTTTAAGAAATTTGAATGGAGCTACACGCGCGGAACCCGCGCAAAACGCAGACGCGAATAACGCGCATAACGCGCGGAAACCGCGCGAAACGTAGACGCGCGAAACCTGCGCGTACTATTAATACTTCTAGTAGTAGTAGTAGTAGTAGTAGTAGTAGTAGTGGTAGTAGTAGTAGTAGTAGTAGCAGTAGGAGTAGCAGTAGCAGTAGCAGTAGCAGTAGCAGTAGCAGTAGCAGTAGCAGTAGCAGTAGCAGTAGCAGTAGCAGTAGCAGTAGCAGTAGCAGTAGTAGTAGAAGTAGTAGTAGTAGTAGCAGTAGTAGTAGTAGTAGTAGTAGTAGGAGTAGCAGTAGCAGTAGCAGTAGCAGTAGCAGTAGCAGTAGCAGTAGCAGTAGTAGTAGTCGTCGTTGTCGTCGTCGTCGTCGTCGTAGTAGTAGTAGTAGTAGTAGCAGTAGCAGTAGCAGTAGCAGTAGCAGTAGCAGTAGCAGTAGCAGTAGCAGTAGCAGTAGCAGTAGTAGTAGTAGTAATAATAATAATATCGTACTCATCACCCATATCGGCCTGCCAGACCAAACCGACACATGCCAAACGTTTGGTTGCTCTGTTGGACGGAGGCGAACAGAGCAACTCGGAGTCGAACAAAGCAATTAGCAGCCGAAAACCACTCTTTTCCAAGCTATTTGCTCTATAAGTCCCCACCTGTCAGGTGAGATTTGTTAGATCATATGTTATCTCTTCTCTTCCTCCTTCTTCCACCAAACCT